TCTGAATAAGCCTTCCGGGGAAGGAGCGATAGCTGTCTGGGGAGGCTCTGGAGAGAAGAGAGCCCTGGACTATTTCATAGGTCCAGGATCCTGGATGCTACACTGTCCTTTGTTCCACGTTTTTATCATTCTTGGCGATGTCTGGTCACTTGTGTCTGACTCCTCCTCCCCAGAGCTCCCTGGGGCCTTCAAGGCCTCTGTGTTACATTCAAGGCCTGCTGCTTCTTTCTCTTCTCTCTCTTTTTAAAAAAATTACCTTTATTGATTTCAGAGAGGGAGGGAGCGGAGGGAGATAGAGAGAAGCATCAATGATAAGAGAGAATCATTGATCAGCTGCCTTCTGCAGGCCCCCCTGCTCTCCTGCCCACCCCTCCCCCAGCACCCCATCGAGCCTGCAATCCAGACCTATATCCTGACCCGGAATCGAACATTAATCTCCTAGTTCATAGGTCAATGCTCAACCACAGCCACGCCTCTTGTCTTAATCCCTGGCACCCTGGTAGTTCTGCTCCTATTTCTGCCCTCTTTCACTTTTCCTTCTCCAGGGCCAGCCTTCCCTCCCCTTCTTAACCTTGTAAAGACTTCCTTTAGTATCCTCAATGCCATCCACATAGTGGGTGCTTCATAAAAATTTGTTGTTGTGCTAAAACACAGATCTTCAGCACATGGACGTGGGCCCAGCGCTGTCGGCTGACTCCAGCCGAACTAGGTTTCTATTCAGGGCTTTGATTTTCCTGGTGGGCCTGGCATGTCAGGGGCCATAGTTTTCCTTACCACTCTGGAGCCACTGGGCTTCTGGGTAAAACTGTCTGGCCAAGAGACACAGGCTTTCATTTTTCAGAAAGGAAACCCTTCCCAACTGGTGGAAAATAAGCTTTTGCTTAGTGACTAATAACATAAACACAGACAAGATTTCTGGGCTTATAAATAACCAGCTGTAAAAGTGCCCAAGGGAAGCAGCCCTTTTTGCCATAAGAATGGCCAAGAGCGGTCCTGTCACCTCACTGATAGTGGCCTGACTGTGGGCAAGGAGCCTTGGGCCGCGGGTGCGGAAGCCGGTCATTCTTTAGAACAGATTCCCAAGGCCTCGCTCTCATACATTATAAATCCCGGGCTGTTCTGGAAAAATAATAGTTGATCTATAAGGATCAACTATTCTTTCAAGCAACTATTCTTTTTGTTTGAAAATCCTCTGGTTCTGCAGCAGCCACAGCATGTTTTAAAGAGCTACGTTGGCGGGGAGAGAGAGAGGCAAGTCTTAGGGTTTTGTTTTGCCAGAAGCTGCCTAAGAGGCAGATGAAGTAATTACGAGAAGAGCTTCCATTTACTGAGCACTGGCCGAGGCACTGCAGGAGGATGCTGAACCTGGCAGCTCACTGAATCCCACGTCACTGGGATCGTTAACCTTGCTTGACCGATGAGGAAACCGAGGGTCATAGGGTTTAGTGCATGTGAGTAACAGTACAGTGAATAATAGTGCAGAACATGGAGTGTGTAGTCAGAACACAGGCTCAGGCCTGCTTGGCCTTGTCCGAGCTCTGTGGCCATGGCAGTTACTAACCTCTCTACACCCAGGCTTTATCATCTGTTGAATGGGGGATACTCATAGGACCAAAGCCGTAGGGCATAATTCATGCAGAATGCTATTAGTCCAGTGTCTGCACATGGCAAACCTTCAGTAAGTGCTGCCTTAGTTAGGAAGGGCTCAAGAAGCTTCACATATGGACACCGCATTGCCTTCTTGAAAAAGCATTGATGCTTTGAGTCTAGAACTGTTGTTTGCCTTTAGCTAATCTAGAGTTCCAGTGAGGACCATGACCATGAGACTCTAGCTGTTTCCTGTGGGAGGGCTGAGGGTGGGGTTCCAGAGCCAGGCCTGGCCACTTGGACATTTCTCTCACCTGGTTGACCCCCCCAGGTCCACCTGCAATAGTGAGGGGCCGATTTTATCAGTTGGGTATCATCTCGTTCATCCAGTGTTTTCCACACTGGCTCCTGGTTAGTTCCTGGGGATTATAACAGGAATATTGAAATGACCAAATCAACCTGCAAAGCTCTTGAGTTAAAGAAACCAGATTCTCCAAGGGGCCATCCAGTCTTAACATTTTCCAAACTATGTTACCTCAGTTTGACCATGGAACCCCATTTGCCTCAGAATAGCTTGCAGGGCTAGTGCTCCATGGAACATGCATTTGGAACTGTTCCCCACACCCCTCCAAATGCAGCCAGCAGCCGGGAAAGAGCGAACGATGGGAAATCAGAGAGGATGGGGATTTGGAGCAAGGGGTGGCCGGCGATGTGGAACAGGTGGACAGGATTGGGATATACTTTAGAGGTAGGATCAGCAGGACTTACTGATGCAATCTGCTTAGTAAAATATTTGGCGTATTGAAGAGTGTTGAACTGAACTGTGTTTATGTCTCCTTGATACCATGTCAGCCAGTTGGGAAGGGAAGAAGCCAGTGGCTGAAGCCACCCTTTGGTTTGCAGGGGGCACTGACCCACGCCTTCTGATAGACACTGAAGGGACCGCTGGCTTTGACCTTTATTTAGCCTTTGGCATGAGACTTTTTGGGGTGTGAGGCTCCTTGTTTCTTTCCCTGTCAAAGTACTTTCCTTCTCCTTCCTCCTCCCACCCCTTGTAAAATGAGGAAACGCTCTGCCCGCATTTGGGAATATCACTCTCATTGTTGGAGCCTGAGCCATGCATCCTGAGGCAGCTTTTCCCGTTTCCAAAGTTTATTGTTAATGAAAAGTGCAAACCAGGCTGAAATCCCTGGCAGGAGCCGGAGCCGCAGGGTACACCGAGGCCAGCAGACGCAGGAGCAGCCAATTTTATCTGGCTGTTCTCATTCTCCTCCTCCTCTCTGCCCTCCTCCTTCCCCCTTAGTTTTATCAGAGAGGTTTGGCTGGACTTGAAGGAGCCAAAAAGGAACTGGAGGGGGTCTGAGTTCCTAGCGGCAGTGACAAGGTGTGGGATAACAGGGGACCCAGGCCTGGGCACATTCCAGTTTAACTCAGTCCTCAGTGTGTGCGCGCGCTCGTATGTGTGTGTGTGTGTGTGTGTGTGTGTGTGTGTGTGTAGTAGGCCCTGGGGGTCCAATAATATTGATACGAATTGTAATAGCTAACATTGAGTGCGTGCCGTAAGGACAGGCCTTGTTCTAAGCATTTAGCATACCACTTATTAATAAACTCTCCCAGCAGTTCTAAGAAGTACATCCCTTATTATGCACTTTTTATAGTTGACTAAACTGAGGCACAGAGAGGGCAAGCAACTTCCCCAGAGTCACACAGCAAGTAAGAGGCAGATCCAGGAATCCTACTTGCCAGTATCTGATTTCAAAACTATAGTTTTTGTCTCAAAGTTCAGGCAGGCAGAGGAACTGGATATATAAACTAGCAAATAAATTCATGTAGTTTGAAAGTCCTGTGATGCAAGTGCAGTAAAAAGCAGAAGGAAGGCAAAGTGGAAGCCATATTTGAGTTCATTCTCAACTAATTAGTTAGAAGAGCATGGAGGTAGGAAACAGTTGTGTGTGTGTGTGTGTGTGAGGGGGAGAGAGAGACAGAGAGAGAGAGAGAGAGAGAGAGAGAGAGAGAGGAGGGAGAGAGAGAGGGAGAGAAGGAAACAGAAACAGCAAGGAGTCCTGCATTGGTGGGCGTTGGGCATGTAGTGCCTTACTGGGATTGGTAGGAGCTGGTGAGATGGAGGAAGGTAGTCAGGGGTCCTTCAGGGAGGGTCTTTGGTAGCCTACAAAGGAGTGTTTGTATTTTATTTTTTATAAAATATCTCCGGGGAGTGAAGGATTTCATAAACAATTATTATGTTGTCTTTGCTCAAATGGCATTTTATGTGAAATCCAACATATGAAATAGCAGTGGAGTCCCTTTGGGTGAGGCAGTGCTGAGGATCAGAGCCCGTCCTTTGAGGCCTCCCTGAGCCTGGCGCCCAGGCATCTGCCTGGAACTCTGGGACCTCAGACGAACAGAGTTTTGAACATATCGCTGTTTGAGAATATCAGGGTTGGGAGAGAGAAGCACTCAGTGATATGTAATTATTTACTACCAGAGGCCCAGTGCATGAAATTCTTGCAAGAGTAGGCCTTCCTTCCCCCAGCTGCTGGCATGGGCTTTCCTCGTAGCCCTGGCATCGTCCAGAAGGTCGTCCGGAAGGATGTCTGGTCTAATTAGCATATTAAGCTTTTATTATTATAGATAATTGTCCAGAATGCACTTATGAAGGTTTGAATTCACTCACTTAATAAATATTAATTGAGCCCCTAGGCCAGTGATGGTGAACCTATGACACGCGTGTCAGAGGTGACACGTGAACTCATTTTTTTGGTTGATTTTTCTTTGTTAAATGGCATTTAAATATATAAAATAAATATCAAAAATATACATCTTTGTTTTACAATGGTTGCAAATATCAAAAAATTTCTATATCTGACACGGCACCAGAGTTAAGTTAGGGTTTTAAAAATGCTGACATGCCGAGCTCAAAAGGTTCGCCATCACTGCCCTACTAGCACACGGGGTGCTGGGATACATTAGTGAATGAACTGGAACCACCCTCATTTACAGTCTAACGGAGGAGACAAAATAAACAAATACAGAGAATTGTTGTGTGATAAGGCTAAGGGTCCACAGGATCATATAGGACCTGGTGAGCCACATTTGAAACTTTGGGTTTTATTTTGAGTGAGATGGAAAGTCTGGAAGGTTTTAAGCAAAGAGATGACAAGATCGTCACCAACTTTGGGTCAGAGGAGCTTAGGAGGTCCTGGTAGCTAGTCCATATGAAATAGTTTGTCTAGTAACAATAGTGATGATATCGTCCACGTGGCTGGAAAACTCACCCAACTCCTCGTGATGTTGAACAGCACAACTTGTGCCCTTCCCGGTATCTGTTTGCCCCGCCCCTCGCTCAGTGACATCTCTGTTTAAGTGAGATTGTTGGATTAACAGGGTGTTTGTATATTGCTCTCCCCCCACAGTGTTTGAGAACAAAGATAAGATTGTGATCATCATGGAATACGCCAGCAAAGGGGAGCTATATGATTTTATCAGCGAGCGGAGACGTCTCAGCGAGAGGGAGACCAGACACTTCTTCCGGCAGATTGTCTCCGCCGTTCACTATTGTCACAAGGTACCGGCCGGCCAGAGCTTTGGCCACAGATGGTGTCTATGGCATCACGTGCTTGGTTGTTTGTTTTCACATTATAAGGGTAATGTCTGTTCATTGTAGTACTTATGGAGAATTTACAAAGTGAAAAGAAGAAAATTACCGCCATCCAGAATTCCAGAATCTAGCAATAACTCATTGTTGACATTTTTGTTTCTTTCTAATCTTCTTCCTCCTACTTTTAACATTTGTTTTTTTATTTGAATTTTTTATTTAGAATAATTTTAGATTTGCAGCAGCGTTTCCCAATAGTACAGAGAGTTGCCATATACCCCTGACTCAGCTGACCCTATGGTAACATCTTACCATAATACATTACTGTAGTATGAATGTACCAACATTTATATGTTGCCATTAACAAAACTTCAGGTTTTATTGGGATTTTACCTTACCAGTTTTTCCACCAATGGCCTTCTTTGTTCCATAATTTTTACGAAGTTTGCGTCTTGTTTTTTCACTCAGTATTTTAATCTAAACATTTCCCTATGTTACTAAAAAAGTCTCTGTAATTATTGTGATTGTTGGACATGTAGGCTGATGCCAGTTTCTGGTTATTACAAATAGTGATCAATGTTTTTAGATGGTAACCTTTTCCTCTCATTTGAATAATTTGCTTGAGAGAAATTATAGAAGTGGAATTCCTGCGCCACAGGTTCCGAACCTTTCTCTGCTCTTGGCCCCTTTTGTTGCATTGATTGCTTCCAAAGGGGTGACACATAGATGCTCATGTACATCCTGTCGCAATACACCCAATTGGATGTGTTCATCATACAGCCACGGGTTAGCCACTGTTGGCCTCTGGAGAAGGAAATGAAGTCCCCAGATAATTCCAAGCCACAGTCCAGCCATTAATGTTATTAATCATCTTATTTACACCCCCCACCCCTCCCGAAATATCATATCTTGAACACTCATTCACTTTGAGGACAGCAGTGACTTGAATCCAACATGGCATACCAAATAGTCAGTTTCTTCACACAAATGATTGTAGTACAGGGTCCCCTGGTTTGCCAGGTATTCTGGTTCATCGGTAGTGGCTCTGGGAGTGATTAGAAAATGATTATTCAGATCCAAAACCCGTAACCCAAGGTCCTGATTATTCAGATCATACAACAGTGTGTATTTTATCACCAGGCATCATCAAAAAGCATTGCAGATGGTACTTTTATTACTTGAAGTTTCTGCATACTAAGGGACTTTATTAGACTCATTCCATTGTGAAAATGAGGAATGTAGCGGTGTAAACCAAACGACTCCCAATATTAAAAGCAAAGCAGAATTAGGAACCTTGTATTTCATATCTTTCATCGAGGAGCCTGACTTTGTGCATTTTTTTGAATTCAAAACACAAAGGTTTGGATTAGAAAAAGTCTCAGAAAAATATATGTCCTTTTCTTCTCTCTGGTCAGTACTTTTGGAGATGTTAGGAGCTGGCAAAAGGAAAGGAGAATAATAAAGAACCAATTGGAAAAAAGGGGATTCTGAACTAAGAAAATCTTGACTGAAAGACAGAATTTCTAGGCAGTTCATTTGCTTAAAAGAGCAGCTTAGCTTGTAAATGTCCTTTATGCTGAATAATGTTAAAAATTCTCTCCCTGCTAATTATCTGCCCAGCCCGGAATAGGTGGTTCTTTCCGTTCCAATCCTCTTCCCATGCCCACCATGAAAAGATCCTTGGGTTTTAAAAGAGAAGCGAGCACACCAGTTGTTACTGCTGTAGATACAGGCCAACAGCCTATTGGCTGATGACGCTTTTCACCTGTTGGTGGGCTGGCCACTTGTCACTGCAGCTCAGCCTCCAGCCTTCCCAGAGCTTACCTGAATGGGTAGGTCATCCAGGGTGGCAGCGACCTGCCGACCTGCTGTGGTCCACCCAGTGGCGCCAGTCTCACCAGCCTCCCCCACCTTCACCCTTTACCTGCATTGAGTCCCACCGAGCAGAAGCGGACTTTGAAAATCTTCCCTCCCAGTTGCTGAGGAAACACCCATGGTAGCAACTTGGTTATCCTCAGAACAGATTGAACCAGGCTTCTTTCCAGCATTGAGGAGGCAGGCAGGCAGGCAGACAGACAGACAGACACGCAAGGTCTGCGAGCCCTGCATTCTGAGTCCCCAGCAGAGAAATCTGCTTCTTCCCTGGGAATCACATCACAGACAGACATGGTTTGCCGCTGCCTGGGACTGTGTTGCTTTCACACAGTGGAATGACATTCCGACCAAGGATCCCCCTGCTGTTTTACAGGCTCTGGGGGAGAACGGATTCCAGTCATTTTTCCCTTAACCACACAGCAAGTGACTAATGCTCTGCTGTCGCGGTCTCTGGCGGGAGCTGCATGACAGCGAGAGCAGCCCTGAAGGATGGAGGCGAAGACCACCGGGCTGGGGCATCTTTCATCTGTCAGATGCTTCCCTTTGCTCGGCCTCCGCCTTCCTCTCTCTCTCCCTCTCTTTCTCTCATCCCATCCGCTCCCATTCAATTCCCTGCCTGTCTTCTCATTTCAGAACGGTGTGGTCCACCGGGACTTGAAGCTGGAAAATATACTGCTCGATGACAACTGCAATATTAAGGTAAACCTCTTGCCTCGATGATTGATATGCAGGGCCTGGGGGTGGCATCGGGTGGGGATTTAAGCTGCTCCAAACGACGGCTTAGAAATAAGGTGGCCACTTCCTTCCCCGGCAGGCGGGTGGGGAGTGTCACTGGGCTTGAGTCCTCAGTTCAAGCTCCGTAAGCCATTTACCCATGTTCAACTACATGCCAGACATTCTTCTTCATGCCGGGATAATTAGGTGACTAAAATACAGTCTCTGTCTTCAGCAAGTTCACGGTCTACAATCATTACAATCATCGCCATAAAAATACTTAGTACAATAACATGTATGTTACGTATTTCAAATCATCTTTGCCTGATACCATTTAAATTCGATCTTTACAAGAACCTTAGGAGATAGGTCCTCTTGTTTACATCATTTCCTAGCTAGGGACACTTCAAACATAGAAGTTAAGTAACTTCCCCAAGGTCACACAGTAGTAGGTAGTGGATTTGGGATTTGAACTCATGTCTTTCTGACTCACGAGCCCTCATTCGAGCCACTATGCTTGGTTTGCCTGCAGGGCCCCAAGTTACCTTAGAGCTGGGACGCTTTCCCTGCCACTTGGTGTCACTCCCCTCCCTCCCACCCTTGAGACCTGCCTGGGACTGGGAAGCTGATGGAAAGGGAGGTGGTGTTCGCTGTTGGGAAGGAGCATCCCGTCAAGTGATGGAGTTTACTTTTACGGAGAGTATTATTGCTGGCTGCTGCTGGAGCTGGAGAAAGTGCTCCTGGCCAATAGGGTTCAAGTGCCTCCTGCAGAGCACTCGGGACGTCCCTTTGATCACATCGGCAAAATAAGCAAATACGGTTTCAAAATAAACGGAGCTCACTGCGTGGGTTTCATTATGAAATGGCCTTAGTCCTCCTGGCACCGGGGGATCCCTCTAATTAGCCGCTGGTGACGTTAGTCCCTCCTCCCTGGTCCCAGGACCAAGCCTGGGAATGACCTTGCATCGCCCTCTTTTGTTGTTGATGTTGCTCTAAGTTGAGGGGGTGCATCACGGGGGACTCTTTCCTTGCTTGGAAGAATGGAGTTGCTTTGGCATCTGACCATCGTTAGTCATCATCCTTCGAGAGGCTCCTGGAAGCCACGTCCGGTGACATCTTGCTTTTGCGAGTGGTTGCCTGTGGTCACATAGTTCTGTGTCGTCCTTAGAGTGAGGAGAAAAGAGTTGGTCAGAGCAGCTTTCTCTAGGAACAGGAAGTGAAATCTCCAGTTCTGGCCGAGTGGCTGGAGAATTTGAGCAGGAGGCTAGATGCACAGTTAGAACACTCCATCCTGTGTGGCTTACTAGTTCCTTGACATTGGGCAATGCACTTCACCCTGTTAACTAGAAAATGGGGTAACAGCAATGCCACAGGCTTGCTTGGAGGAGTAAATGAGATAGTTTGCGTTTAGCTTTATACACTGCTGAGCACTGTGTGGTGAGTCAAGGTAAGAGCACTGGCTTTGGAGGTGGCTTGCCTGGGTTTTGAATGGCAGCCCTGCCTGTTACTAATGGCCGTATTCTGGATAAATGACTTGCCTGCCTAAATCTCAGTTTCCTCATTTGTCCAGTAGGGTTGCCAGTCTATCTCTGATGATTGTTGTGGATTTGTTCACTTTTTCACTGAGTGTTTCCAGAGCAGTTACTGTGTGCCATGCCCTGTTCCCAGTCCGGGGGAGGCAATGACAAACATGAGGATTTTAGACAACAGATAGTCTAAGCACTTAGCACTTAACGCTTCATGTCCAAGGTGCCTACTTAAATGGGTGGCCCCTGGGGAGGAAACTGGACAGGACGCCAGTTGCTTTGAAGGTACCTGTTGGTCAGGCCATGGCTAGAGAATTGGCTTCTGGTTTGAGGGACACATTCTAAGGGTTTGTGTCATCCACCCTGTTAACTTCCTCTGCAGATTCTTCCTCCCACCTGCCCCCAGAGCTCTCCAAACTAAATGTAGTCTTACAAGGCCTGGAATGTGAGCCTCTCACTTGGGGGTTGGGTTCTGTAGTACAATGTGACCTCTTGCTCCATGATGTAGTCCCAGAAGTGATAAGGCACATAGCTTCCTAGGGAGTCATAGACTTGCCCAGAGGAAAAGCATGGTTAGAATTCTGAATGCAACTGAGCTGGGAACAATAGGCAGGAGCCCAGGAGAATAGCTCATTGGCATAAGCAATAGTGCCATGGTGTTGGGCCTCCCAGTTCCCAGGACCAAGTCCTTCAATCTAGGATCCCTGTCCATTTGGTGGGGAAATTGGAGACATAGCACATTATAGAAATTAAGGTTTGGGTCATATCTTTTTCTTTAGGATTCTTTTTTTTAAACATATTTTTATTGATTTCAGAGATGAAGGGAGAGAGAGATAAAGACATCAATGATGAGAGAGAATCATTGACTGGTTGCCTCCTGCACACCCCCGCCCCTTACTAGGGATCGAGCTGGCAACCCAGGCATGTAATCCCTGACCAGGAATCCAACCGTGATCTCCTGGTTCATAGGTTGATGCTCAACCACTGAGCCACATCGGCTGAGCTAGGAATTTTAATCCTTAAGATTTTTTGTTTCTGGCATTTACTAAGGAAACACACACACACACACACACACACACACACACACACACACACACACCCCTCCTGAACAGAAACTAAACCCTCCCATTCTCTGACACGAATCCTTCCTTCTGCTTATTCAAGGAATGCTGCTAGGACCTGAGACTCCTAAAGCTTGAAAGAACCTTGAGGGTCATTTCCAAACCCTTTGTTTTAATGATTATGGTCCAAAAAGTCCAACTGATGTGCCCAGGATCAGACACAGGGAATTAGTGTAGATGAAATGAGTGTGTCTTTGTTTCCCTGGCGTATGGCACAGTGCTTGTCACACAGTAGGTGCTCTTAAGCTGTTTGATTAGAGTGAAGGGATGACAGCCAGGATTAGAATTCAAATGTTTGACTTCCAGACAAATTCTCTTTTCATCATCTCACACCCACTTCCAAGGTTTTTAAAAATGTGTTTCAGCTGGTGTTGATTTGTCTTCCGGCTGGATATGCTCAGCTCTTCCCAAGTCAGCATTTTGCTGAAAACATATTTATAAAAGGGCACTTGTGATAAAGGCAGCAGGCACAGACACATGGCTGCAAGCTGGGCTCCAAGTTCAAGAGAGTCCATGTCATTGGTATCTGGATAAGGGGACCATTGACACTGATGGCCTGTTACCAGCCAATGGATTATGAGCAGCGAGATGCCTCTGGGAGCCCCCTCATGTGTCTCTCTAAATGTGGGTGCATCCCCCCAATTCCAAGGATAGAGGGCTGTTGCCCAGGAAGCCTGTAAAAATGCTACTAGTTTAAACTCGTCACATGTCGCTGCAGTTTCGGTGGGAGCCATGCAGCTGTTCCTCGTCCCTTCCCTGCCTGATGTTGATTGGCAAAAGCACATCTGGCATTGGGAATCACTTATCTGGCCAGTGCGAGAGGGTGTGGCTTCTAGAAATATTCACACAGTCGGTCAGCAGAAAGAATGAGAGCAATGTGCTTCTTTGGGTTGCATTCCGTACTCCGAGGAGAAGCATGTCTACCAAAATAGACACCCAGGATAGCATTAATTTGCAATTAATAAAAAAAAAAAAAAACGGGCCAGAT